CATGAAACCCATCCATCGTTTCCTCAATATTCTTGTGCTTCGCGCTCCTGCTGACGCGGCGAGTATAAACCAGGCTCTACACTCTATAAGCACTGCACAGTTCAAACGAGTAGCGCGGTTTCGTTTGCCTTTTGATGTTTCTCATATGCAACAGAAATGCAGCGCTTATGAGTTAAACAATGCGGTGGTCACGCCAGTGCGACCGCACACAAAATTTAGTCGCACGGGCAGAAAAAATTATCGCAAAATGCGCCCATTTGGTCGCACTCTGGAGCCCTGTGCTGGACAGTATTTATTTATCCTCAGTTGTTCAAATCGCGGTAATCGAATACGGTTATAGTGATAATTAAAATATGAAATAGTAATACTAACCGTGAGGTATTTTATCACAATTTATCGTCAAACCGATTAACGTTACATCCCTAATTTAGATACAGAAGAACTTTGCCTGTTGAATATTAAAAACAACTGAACAAACAAAAAATCTGGATCTCCATGTCTGCCATGCAAATCAACTGTTCCTGCTCATCTCCAGACTGGATCCCTTCTCTCCACTTTCCCTAACTGCAGATTAAATTATTAGATCTGTCAGCATATATTAATATTTTTATGCTTAGATTTTTTTGGGGGGGGGGATCAAACTGTAAAACTGTGTGTCCCAACCAAACCTGACGCGATAAAAAGTATCTTTTCCATGTAGTTTTTGTCCTAACCACCCGCGACAGCGACACGGGATTCTATTTTAGAAACAGTTTTTATTTTCTGTGACGTCGCGGCAGGTTTATTTTCTGCGACATCGCAGCAGGAACAACATACAAAATATAAAAGTGATAATATCAGGTAATGATTATGTGCTTTATTCAATGTTAAAAGTGTCTAATGTGAGTTTGAACATTATTTTGCGTGATCTTTATAGCCATAGTAAAAGCAACAATAGATATTTTAGCTCAGATCTTGAAAAGAAATTAAAGCAAACTTGTACGTTAAAACTGTGAACTTGCTGCGAACCAACACGTGTATTCCATAACAAAGATAACAGTCACTCACTCAAAACTGTTCAGTGCAAATCATTTGAACTTTGTGTCAGTACATTATAAATAGAACGAGTCAGCAGTTTACTGTCAGGGATTTATCGTGTCGCGCCGCATCCAAGACAGCATCACTGATTATAATGGGTTCTATTGTATTTTGTCGCTTTCTGATGCTGCGTTTCAATTTTCATGACACATTATTTGAAATTAGCACGGGCCAAACATTTTTCTCTCACGGGCCGCCTATTGAGGAACCCTGGCTTATTTAGCCCCTGCTGGTAGATAACATAACTACACCATTTTCAATACAAGTTACTTAAAATGTCAACATGTTTATAGCTAGCTAGCTAGTTAAATAACATCCAGTTTTTCAAAAGGTCATGATTTGGTTGGTTAGCATAGCCCTTTTAGCCTCTTTTGGTAGGTATTATAACTACACCATCTTACTTCATTGTTAGCCTTCACTGTAACCATGCATTTCTACATGCAGATATGTAAATTTCTTCTGTCTCTTTTATCTTTAAAGCTTTCGCATGTGAAAGAGTCTCCGTTTGGTTTGCTGAAGAGTCAGAGTTTATGTTTGCTTCCCGGGGCCACAGGAAGTTGGAGGCCTGCGGACAATTCAGAGTCTCGTCGGCTCACCACGTCCCAGAGCTGCCTTACAGAGCTTCCCAACACCCCACTCTCCAAGAGCAGCTCAGGTCAGCAGGTTTCAGAGAACAACAGGCCGCTCTGTGGCTCCATTACCACACTAAATGCTTGCCTTGTTTACACACAAAATGTCCCAGAAAACAGTATGTTATTTGGTGAGAAAACTAGGGATGGAAGGTGGGCAGTTAGCAATGCTTGCAGTGAAGAAATGTGACCGTTCCTTAGTATCACAGTGCATCTCTTTGTTTGTCTTCAAGATGTCAATCCATCCAGCAGTACTCAGGGAGCTCCATGGGTTTGCGGTAGAGGAAACCAGGACGCAGGAATACCCCAGATCTCCTTCACTGAGCCCGCCTCACCCGCTCCGCCCGAGATCCAGGATTGTGTGGAAGCGGATGTGGATGACGGCCCGGAGTACCTGGCTATCGGTAATCTGGGGAAGCACAAACGGCGTGACTCGTCCAGCTCCACTCAGAGCAGTGAACACATGGGGACTCAGGGCGATGCCCACACTCCTTCGGCTCCACCCCCGCCACGCCGCTGCTCCTTCTCAGAGGCTCAGAGAACCACAGGGCGGAGCTCGAGGGGCCACATCCGGTCTCTGTCCGACACGGGCATCTCGCAGAAGCAGAAAAATGGTGCGTAGGTTTACGTACTTTTAAGTACTTTTAAGTTGTAAAGAATATCTGCAGTGACATTTTTGCAAAGTATGTATTGATTTGGAGAGGAGTGGGGCCTTGGAGTAAAAAAGGTTGAGAACCACTGGCTTAGACAAATGTTTCACATGCTGAGAATGCTAACCTAACATATAAGTATATAAACCATGGTTTCAGAGAACAACAGGCTGCTCTGTGGCTCCATTACCACACTAAATGCTTGCCTTGTTTACACACAAAATGTCCCAGAAAACAGTATGTTATTTGGTGAGAAAACTAGGGATGGAAGGTGGGCAGTTAGCAATGCTTGCAGTGAAGAAATGTGACCGTTCCTTAGTATCACAGTGCATCTCTTTGTTTGTCTTCAAGATGTCAATCCATCCAGCAGTACTCAGGGAGCTCCATGGGTTTGCGGTAGAGGAAACCAGGACGCAGGAATACCCCAGATCTCCTTCACTGAGCCCGCCTCACCCGCTCCGCCCGAGATCCAGGATTGTGTGGAAGCGGATGTGGATGACGGCCCGGAGTACCTGGCTATCGGTAATCTGGGGAAGCACAAACGGCGTGACTCGTCCAGCTCCACTCAGAGCAGTGAACACATGGGGACTCAGGGCGATGCCCACACTCCTTCGGCTCCACCCCCGCCACGCCGCTGCTCCTTCTCAGAGGCTCAGAGAACCACAGGGCGGAGCTCGAGGGGCCACATCCGGTCTCTGTCCGACACGGGCATCTCGCAGAAGCAGAAAAATGGTGCGTAGGTTTACGTACTTTTAAGTACTTTTAAGTTGTAAAGAATATCTGCAGTGACATTTTTGCAAAGTATGTATTGATTTGGAGAGGAGTGGGGCCTTGGAGTAAAAAAGGTTGAGAACCACTGGCTTAGACAAATGTTTCACATGCTGAGAATGCTAACCTAACATATAAGTATATAAACCATAAATGTTTAAGAATCACTTAGGCTACCTCTGGGCGATTCATGAACAGGTAGAACTTAAACTGCACGCTCATGCCAGAAAACTCCTAATTGGCCAAAATGCTTCGTTTGACTTTTCGGAGATCATCTACTCTTCCCTGTGTATTACCTCTCACCTACTTTCTGTATGATCTGAATTTCTGCGTAATGAATTTTAGAATACTGAATTTACTCTTTATCTTGAAAACTTGAAGCTGTATTTTTAAAAACTGGATATTTGTAGTCTAAGATTTCAGAACAAAAAAATTTGCCCTTTTAAAAATACATGTTTTTAAAACACTGCCATAAAAAAATATTAAGTTGTGTTCAATTTTAAATGTTTAATATTCAAGTAAAAAAAATCTAATTCAGAACTATGTTAAATGCCACATAATATTCAGTTTTGTTAAATGACACTTGTCAATAATTCAAATTTACACAATACAAATGCAATTAGTTTTGTCATATTATAAGCTCCATATGCACCTCGGTTGAATTGTTTTGAAGGCTTTTTCCTTTTTTTTTTTTGCTATTGAACAACAAAAACATCAATCATAATCCACCCGACTGTAAGTGAAAACGTACAAAAAAATGTATATTTTATGTAAAATAAATATTAAACAAAATATTTTGGAATCTAAAAATGCTGTAAAATCAAAGCCACATGTCTAAGATATGTTCCAAATTTGAAGTTGACATTACAAAAGTTGAGGTTCCTATGACATTTTGTTTAGGTGCTATAGCAAAAAGTTGACAATAAACTCCAATTTTTCAAATTTTTTTATGCATTTTCCTGTCAGAAATGTATACAATTCTTTCACAACATAACCAGTCTAAGATTTCAGAACAAATAATTCGCTGTTTGAAAATACATGTCTGTACAACTCTGCCATAAAAATATTCAGTTGTGTTAAATTTCAAATGTTTAATATTCAAGTTCAAAAAAATCTAATTCAGAACTATGTTAAATGCCACATAATATTCAGTTTTGTTAAATGACACTTGTCAATAATTCAAATTTACACAATACAAATGCAATTAGTTTTGTCATATTATAAGCTCCATATGCACCTCGGTTGAATTGTTTTGAAGGCTTTTTCCTTTTTTTTTTTTGCTATTGAACAACAAAAACATCAATCATAATCCACCCGACTGTAAGTGAAAACGTACAAAAAAATGTATATTTTATGTAAAATAAATATTAAACAAAATATTTTGGAATCTAAAAATGCTGTAAAATCAAAGCCACATGTCTAAGATATGTTCCAAATTTGAAGTTGACATTACAAAAGTTGAGGTTCCTATGACATTTTGTTTAGGTGCTATAGCAAAAAGTTGACAATAAACTCCAATTTTTCAAATTTTTTTATGCATTTTCCTGTCAGAAATGTATACAATTCTTTCACAACATAACCACCAAAATATTTTTTGTTAAGATTAGAAAAAGTTTTGATTCTAAAATGTTGTAGTAAATTTTGTAATATGACACTTGACACTGCCCACTAGGGGGAGGAGCCTGCTGAAAGGTTTAAAGGGCCATTTTCATGGTAACGCAAAGTCCGATTTCAAAATGGTTTCCACAAGATTAATTTTGAGTATTCAAGCTGTCAAATTATATATAGTTTAAAATAGATCCTATTTACTTTCTTAATATTTAAAAAAAATGGCAATATTAAATTAAAATGTAAAAATGTACAAAAATCTTTAGCAGTTTTACAAAAATATAACGTCCATGAATCATTTAGTTTATAATTGATAAAATCAAGTCCTGCTCTACTTTTTTTTATTTTTCTGTCATGTGTTTCACCTAAAAATACATCAGATTATGAAAGTCCAATTGGCTGTGTTCGCTTACTTTAAATGATCTATAATGTTAACGCTTGATTTTAATTAAAAATATGGCATTCCCATACACATCTGCAATAAAAAATGTAAAAACAGATCTCCACACCTTGCTTCTAAGCTGTTGTACCTCTTGTGCTCTTTGGTCTTGCTGTGGATCAGGGTGATAATTTCTCTGCTTCAACTCTATTCTTTCTTTTTTTCTTCTCTGTATGGAAAGGAGGGAATCACAGGAAAATCACCATTATTATCGAGGACCCCGTCGCAGGTTTGCAGTGCCGTGGTGCTGCATCTTGTCCATCCCTCCATTTCTGTTACCCATGCACGATTCGCTTTTTATTTTATTTTTTCTTCAGCTTTTGGCATTGTTTGTCGAGCTGTTGCACAACATTCCTATCCTGTGCCATTCCATTTGTTCTTATTTTTATTTAGTGAAATTTTACACAGTTGTGCCTGGAAAGTTTTTAATATTTAATTTTCCTTTTAGTCTTTTCTGTTTTTTGGCCATTGTGTTAAAAGTTATAAAAATTCAAAAAAACTACATGTTGTGTAGGTATAAATTTTCATCAGTGTTTATCATGGATCAGATCCTGCACCAGGAAAGACGCATTTGTTATCTTCCTTATCCTAATGTCATGTATTTGTGCATAATTCGTATCATATTTTTCTGTATTTCCCAGAGTCTGTTGCAGCTACACCAATTTCAAAGATCTGTGGTCCTTTCTCACCCCAGAGCAGCGACAGCAGCACCAACAGTTCCCTTTATATGGAATCTAGTGAGTGATGCTTTCTATCTATTCATTTATTCAAAAATACATAAAAAATGTAATTCATGCTTACAGTTACCTAAATACACTACTTCTCTGAAGAGCATGTTTTTATTTAAAATTTTGTTTGATATTTTTTGTGAGCATAAAGTACAAATTTTAGGGTGGTACAAATGTTCTGATGTTGTGACGAAGGAATATAGTAAAACAGTCAAAAATGTATTAGCACTTTTGTTTTATTTATTTAATATTTTCTTTAAATAAAATACATTTAACACAACTGCTTTAGTGCTTGTTAATATTTGAAAACATTTTGGCCATCAAAGTCATGTGGTACAAACAACATGCTGAAACATTTGACCATTTTAATGACGGCAAGATTAGTTCATGTTGTAAAATGTCATGTGGTACAACTGTACTGATATTGTAATGAAGAAAGAATGAAATAAAACAGGGTGTCTGCGGGTCCTTAAAAAGTCTTAAAATGTCTTAAATAACGTTTTCCTAATATAGTTATTTTGCAGGGATATTTTGTATGGAATATTGTCTGCTGACATGAAAAGTTCACTGTATATCGTAGTAATAAATATAATTTATTACAGCAATGATATTTAGTTTTCTTTTTAATTTATACACATTAAATATTACATATATGTATGTAATAAAATGTGTATTTCCATTACAGGTTTAGGTCTTAAATTTAATATAAGGTGGTATTAAAAAGGTCTTAAAAAGTCTTAAATTTAACTTGTTCATGTCTGCAGAAACCCTGTAAAAAAAAAAAAATGAATAAAGTAGTTTGACATGAAATTAAAAAAAAAAAATGTATTTGGCCACAACTGTTTTACCGCTTATTTAAAAATGTTTGTCCAATTAATCAAAGTCATGTGGTGCAACAAAATTCATTTGGTACAACATGCTGAAATATGCAGGAAAAAACGGTTTCTTAAAATATAAAATAATTTGACCTTTATATGATGGCAAGATTAGTTCAGGTTATAAAATGCCATGTGGTACAACTGTCCTGATATCATAATGAATAATGAAAAAAAGTTGTTATTCTTTATAAAAATATTTTATCACCACTCCTTCACTGCTTATTAATTTTTAAAAACTTCTGTCCATCTAATCAAAGTCATGTGGTACGACCAAAAAAAGTCACGCAGTACAACCAACATATTGAAATATGCAGAAAAAAACAAGTCTCTTAAAATATCAGATAATTACCTTTTTATGATGGCAAAATCAGTTCTGGTTGTAATATGTCATGTGGTGTGACTCCCAAAAAGCTGATATTTCTTAATTAGTAATTTTGGATAGGTGTAAAAACAACAACAACAACAACAAACAAAACAAAAAACAAATGAACAGAAATTATTAAGACACGTTACACTTACATATATTTGAGGTGTAAGCAAAATTCTTACTTTTCACTCGATGGTTACACCACATGACATTTTTAAAGTAATTTACCTGAAACATTTCTTAAAAATTGTGTAAAAGTTTTCCAAAACCATACAAAACAAACATGAATACAAAGTGCACACATTTCTAACTAGATTTAGTTTTCTTCATCATGGACACTTGCATATCTCATCGAATTATATTAAAATAATCATAATCTTAAATGTGCCTTCATGCTTACAGACGGCACCCAGTACAACAGTGTGCCAGACGCATTGTTCCGCAGACCGTCCGAGGGTCAGAGTCTGATCAGCTACCTCTCCGAGCAGGACTTCGGCAGCTGTGCTGATCTAGAAAAGGCAAGCGCAAACTCCTCACTGCGCTCTGCGTCTCATATATGGTGTTCATAACTCACATTCATATCCCATCACTGCAGGAAAACGCCCACTTCAGCATCTCGGAGTCTCTGATCGCGGCCATCGAGCTGATGAAGTGTAACATGCGCAGGCCGGTGGAGGAGGCGGAGGAAGAGGGCGACAGCGACTCGGAAATCCAGCAGCTCAAACAGAAAATCCGTCTGCGCAGACTGCAGATACACCGCACGCGGATGAAGCCACCGGCCTCCACTAATAACCGTAAGACTGAGGCATTTGCAATCAAGAGGGAAATTAAATGTAAACGGGATGTGTGATTAATCGCGATTAATCGCATCCAAAATAAAAGTTTTTGTTTGCATAATATATGTGTGTGTTCTGTGTACATTTATTATGTATATATAAATACACACACAAACACACAGTATATATTTTGAAAATATTTACATGTCTATATTTATAGTGATATAATTTATATTATAAATAAATATATTTAATAAATAAACAAAATATTTTTCTGAAATATATACATGCATGAGTGTGTATTTATATATACATAATAAATATACACAGCACACACACATATATTATGTAAACAAAAACTTTTATTTTGGATGCGATTAATCACGATTAATCATTTGACAGCACTAATATTTATTGCTTTTTTTCCACAGAAGCCCCATCTGTGGATAGTGGCGGCTCACGGAGGAGCTCCCAGGATTCCTTTCACCCCTCTGACTCCGGCTCGGATAGAGATGTGGAGGATATCGAGCTCAAAGGTAGGAGCTCCAGACAGGAAGTCTGACCTCATTCCCGCTTGTGATCGTATAATCATCCTCACGATTGCCCTCATTACCCATAATGCCATGTGATGAGAAATGTGTTGGCATCCCAATCACATGACTAATTTCTAACTAATTATGCTTATTTTTGATCCCTAATTTGTAACTTTGAATCAAGTTTTTTTTTTTTCTTGATTTGTTTGTGTGTTTTAGCAGGAAAGAGCAGAATAGTCATTGCAGGTGTTGTTATTCTTAATACGTTAGGCTTCAATACGCAAATCAATGTGAAATCAAAATTAACACTTTACATTAACACACGTTTACATACAAAAACCTTTAAAATGTGGGAGTAGATGGTGTTTTAGGAAGTGAGATGTTCACTCTAATTCTGGGCGGATAAAGTTTTGTTTATGTGGTTAAAAATCTTGTTGCACTTGGAAATGTCATATTACTGTATTAAAAAGAACACTTTTAACCTTTATAATGTGACATTTCAAAGAATTATTGAAATATTTAGCTAGAAATCATTTTTTGTATTAGTATTGTGGGACTTATGGGTAATATATATATATATATATATATTAGATATAAATATATAGATATATAGATATAAATATATATATATATATATATGTGTATGTGTGTGTTGCTAAATTTTAATAAAACATAAAAGAGTCAGATTGTGCAACCAAAAAAGTCGGTACAACCAACATGCTGAAACACACATAAAGACAGTCCCTTAAAATGTTAAATAATTTGGCTTTTTTATGATACCAAGATTAGTCCTGGTTGTAAAATGTCATGTGGTGCAACTGTCCTGATATAATGAATAAAGAATGAAATGTAAAAAGATTGCCCTCATTACCCATAATGCCATGTGATGAGAAATGTGTTGGCATCCCAATCACATGACTAATTTCTAACTAATTATGCTTATTTTTGATCCCTAATTTGTAACTTTGAATCAAGTTTTTTTTTTCTTGATTTGTTTGTGTGTTTTAGCAGGAAAGAGCAGAATAGTCATTGCAGGTGTTGTTATTCTTAATACGTTAGGCTTCAATACGCAAATCAATGTGAAATCAAAATTAACACTTTACATTAACACACGTTTACATACAAAAACCTTTAAAATGTGGGAGTAGATGGTGTTTTAGGAAGTGAGATGTTCACTCTAATTCTGGGCGGATAAAGTTTTGTTTATGTGGTTAAAAATCTTGTTGCACTTGGAAATGTCATATTACTGTATTAAAAAGAACACTTTTAACCTTTATAATGTGACATTTCAAAGAATTATTGAAATATTTAGCTAGAAATCATTTTTTGTATTAGTATTGTGGGACTTATGGGTAATATATATATATATATATATATTAGATATAAATATATAGATATATAGATATAAATATATATATATATATATATGTGTATGTGTGTGTTGCTAAATTTTA